GTGTGTGTCTGTCTGTGTCTCACTGGCTCAGTGTGTGTGTGTGTGTGTCCGTGTCTCACTAGGTCAGTGTGCGTGTGTGTTTCTGTCTCACTGGGTCAGTGTGCGTGTGTGTCTGTGTCTCACTGGGTCAGTGTGCGTGTGTGTGTCTGTCTCACTGGCTCAGTGTGCATGTCTGTGTCTGTGTCTCACTGGGTCAGTGTGCATGTCTGTGTCTGTGTCTCACTGGGTCAGTGTGCGTGTCTGTGTCTCACTGGGTCAATGTGCATGTGTATTTGTCTCACTGGGTCAGTGTGTGAGTGTGTCTGTGTCTCACTGGGTCACTGTGTGTGTGTGTGTCTGTGTCTCACTGGGTCAGTTTGTGTGTGTGTCAGTGGGACACACACACACACACACACACTGACCCAGTGAGACACAGACACACACACACACACTGACCCAGTGAGATACAGACACACACACACACAGTGACCCAGTGAGACACAGACTGACCCAGTGAGACACAGACACACACACCGACCCAGTGAGACACAGACACACACACTGACCCAGTGAGACACAGAAACACACTGACCCAGTGAGATACAGACACAAACACACACACACTAACCCAGTGAGACAGACACACACACACACTGACCCAGTGAGACACACACAAACACACTGAGAAAGTGAGACACAGACACACACACACACACACAGTGACCCACTGAGACAGACACACTCACACAATGACCCAGTGAGACACAGACACACACACACTGACCCAGTGAGACACACACAAACACACTGAGAAAGCGAGACACAGACATACACGCACACACAGTGACCCAGTGAGACAGACACACACACATTGACCCAGTGAGACACAGAAACACACTGACCCAGTGAGATACAGACACAAACACACACACACTGACCCAGTGAGACAGACACACACACACACTGAGCCAGTGAGATACAGACACAAACACACACACACTGACTGAGTGAGACCCAGACACAAACACACTGACTCAGTGAGACACAGACACACACACACTGACCCAGTGAGACACAGACACATACTGACCCATTGAGACACACACAAACACACTGAGAAAGTGAGACACAGACACACACGCACACTGACCCAGTGAGACAGACGCACACACACACACACAGACCCAGTGAGAGACAGACACACACACACACACACACTGACCCAGTGAGACACACACACACACTGACCCAGTGAGACACAGACACAGACACACACACACACTGACCCAGTGAGACACAGAGACACACACACTGACCCAGTGAGACACACAAACACACTGACCCAGTGAGACACACAAACACACTGACCCAGTGAGACACACACACCCACTGACCCAGTGAGACACACAAACACACTGACCCAGTGAGACACACACACACACTGACCCAGTGAGACACACACACACACTGACCCAGTGAGACACACAAACACACTGACCCAGTGAGATAGACACACACACACACGCACACACTGACCGAGTGAGACCCAGACACAAACACACTGACTCAGTGAGACACAGACACACACACTGACCCAGTGAGACACAGACACACACTGACTCAGTGAGACACAGACACACACACTGACCCAGTGAGACACAGACACACACACTGACCCAGTGAGACACAGACACACACTGACCCAGTGAGACACAGACACACACACTGACCCAGTGAGGCACAGAGAGAGACAGACACTGAGCAGCAGTGAGAGAGATACACTGACACAGTGAGCAGCAGTGAGACACACACAGGCACAGTGAGCCTGTGAGTGAGTGAGTGAGTGAGTGTGAGCCGCGGAGTGCAGGATGATGGAGTATCGGTCTGGCTCTTTCACAGCCGCCTCAGACTATGAGGATGATGATGATGAGGAGGAAGAGTGCAGACTGCCCTCAGTACCACAGACTCAGGTATAATCTGCTGTTCCACACCAGGTGACGCTCTGGCAATTTGCTAATTCCTGATCCCAGCGAACTGCAGCCTCTCACATCCACATAGTCACTCACTCACTCTTACTCTGTCACACACGTACTCACTTAATCACTCACACCGCTGACTGCTCGCCCCGGAGCCCACCCCACCGGAGCCCACCCCACCGGCCCACCGGAGCCCACCCCACCGGCCCACCGGAGCCCACCGGAGCCCACCCCACCGGAGCTCGGCCCACCGGCGCTCACCCCACCGGCCCACCGGCCCACCGGAGCTCACCCCACCGGAGCCCACCCCACCGGCTTGTGTTGCTATTCTGTGTTTTTTGCTGCTGGTGGTGTTGTTGTTGTTGGGGGAAAGAAGGGGAGGAGGAGGTCAGTGTAATGGCGGAGGGAGACTCGGGCAACCAGAAGGGGCCTTGTTATAACTGCTCAGGGTTGGCCTCGGGGGTTGTCATGAATCAGGAGTTCAGAGTCTTGACACAGCAATTTCAGCACATCACGAGGCCTAAAAGTGGCAATTGATTCAAGTACAGAAAGAGAGAGACAGAGAGGCAGACAGACAGATAGAGATAGACAGACAGACAGACACAGAGAGACAGATAGAGAGAGAGAGATAGACAGGGAGAGAGAGACAGAGAGAGAGAGACAGACAGAGAGACAGACAGACAGATAGAGAGAGAGAGATAGACAGGGAGAGAGAGACAGAGAGAGAGAGACAGACAGATAGAGAGAGAGAGATAGACAGACAGACACAGAGAGACAGACAGACAGATAGAGAGAGAGAGATAGACAGGGAGAGAGAGACAGAGAGAGAGACAGACAGAGAGACAGACAGACAGATAGAGAGAGAGAGATAGACAGACAGACAGACAGACAGACAGACACAGAGAGACAGACAGACAGACAGATAGAGAGAGAGAGATAGACAGACAGAGAGACAGACAGAGAGACAGACAGACAGACAGATAGAGAGACATAGACAGAGACAGACAGACAGAGAGAGACAGACAGAGAGAGAGAGAGAGACAGAGCGCAGCTGCAGCTAATCATTGTAGTTATGGTGTGAGCTGCTGTTCAGGGCTGATCCCCTCTCTCTGCATTGGGTGTGTGATGTAACCAAAAAAGTAGTTTCATTCCATGATATTGTATCAGGTGTTTAGATCTCCCTTTGCCTGCCTTTGCCTGCCTTGTTTGTGTCATATAACTAACAATTTTATTCGTTCCTCATTTTCTCCCCTCCCCCCCTCCCAGCCACCTCATATCTAACCTATTTTTGACAACCAACTGAAATTAAACCATATTCTGGTCCAATTGTCCTCTTAATACCTCAGTTAAGTCACAATTTTCATACTGTATGCGAGTCTTGACACTAAGCGTTGGCAGGATGTTTACCAACTCCTGATCTGTTCTTGGGATAAGATGTTAAACTCTGGGACACTCTTCGTCTCTCCCTCCGCTTTACCCCTTCCTGCCCCATCTTCGGGTCATGCCTGAAGACCTTCCTATTCGACAGTGCCTACAGTCACCTCCCCCTCCCCCCAGCTCGGTGTCATGCTCTGCCACTATATTTCTAATAATAATCCTTGCATTTGATATAGGGACTTATCACGTCTTCGAGACATCTCAAATTGCTTCACAGGCTATACTGCAAAGTGAATTGACTATATTTTGTGGGTGAAATGCGGCAGCCAATTGCACACAGCAGTTTTTGTTGTACTCTAGCTGTTCTTATGGTTCAGATGGACTTTGAAAATACCACGACCCTATTTCAACAACTCTCCTAGGTCATCGATGGTTACAGTCTTGGCTGTGTTTGGGAGGATGGTATCAATGGCAACTCTGACTGCAGCTCTATTGCTCCCCATTTGTAATTCAAGAATAACAGCAAACTGCTTCCAATATCGTGGCCATTTTCTGCTGAACATGCAGAATAAACATGGGCTAAATGGCATGTGGTAACCTCACAACTAAAAATTGTCTTTGGGCATTTTATTTCACTAATTTTTTTTAAAACAGTTTAGAGCAATACAATCTAATTAAATTCCAGCAGCACCCAAATGTACACATTTACATTCTCAAAGTCCTGGATTCCTTAAAAAAAAATTGGTCACTTCAATCCACAAAGTTTGTGGGACACTGCTGTGCGCATTTCGCCCACAAAATATACAGTCAATTCACTTTACAGTATATTCTGTGAAGCGCTTTGAGACGTCTCAGACATAAGGCTCTATATCAAATGGAAGGATTATTATTATTCAATGGACACATCCCTGTGTTGTTCAGGCATAAGAAAACAATTGGTCATCTGTATTTGTGTACCACAGTGGCCATAGGCTAAACCCACATCCTGACTGACTTCTTTTAGGAGAAAATGGGCGTGGGGAGGGGAGACAAGTGTGGAACATAAATCAGCAAAGACTACAGTGAATGTGAATATCCTAGATATGTTATGATTTCCCTTTTTTAATGTTTTCTTCAGTTTTGTGTGTTGTTGAGCACTTATGGTTGAAGGGCGCAATGCTGATAAAACCATGGACTGGCATTGGCACAAACTTTTCTGCCAGTGTTGGCTACTGTACCGTTGAAACTTAATAAATAATAATAATCCTTGCATTTGATATAGCGCCTTATCACATCTTTGAGGTGTCTCGAAGCGCTTCACAGAGTTTTGTAAAGTGAATTGACTGTATATTTTGTGGGCAAAACATGGCAGCCAATTGTGCACAGCAGTGACCCATAAACAGTCCTGGTTTGAGTGACCAATTTATTTTATAAAAAGAAAACATTAAAAAGAAAGTTTTTGAAGAAAACTTAAGGTTCCAGCCAGTGACTAATATGAAGCAAATGTGTCCTGTTAGACTCAAAACTCACCTGCTCCCCTCCCCTCCCTCCCAGCAACTTCTCAACTGAGAGGCCGCGCGGGGCTTGGGGCTAGTCCTTGCCCTCTCCCATAAATAGGTCTGAAACTCTTAGCCAAAGGAACTGAAGGATTGATTTAGCTGCTCCTTTTCATTGTTTTCTCTTTCTTGAGAATTGGCCACAGTGAGAATGACTGGTGCTGATCCACATCTTCCTGTTGCTAATCAACATCTTGTTGGACGTTGCAGAAAATTTGTATCCCAGCGCTCTGTGCGTTAGCAGGCTGATCACATAGTTCACACATTGAGAACTAATGTGTCATACCTTGTGCTTGTGGATTTTCAGTTAGACTAAAATCACTCACCCTATTTATATACTGAGGGACATTTGTGGCAGAACTGTGGTAAGTACATTAACATAATAAATGCATGCACGCATACATACATACATACATACACACACACGCGCGCCTTGCATTTGATACGGCACCCTTGTCACGTCATCGAAACCCCTCAAAGCGCTTCACATGATTCAGTGTAAAGTATAGCAACTGTGTATTTGTGGCAAACGCAGCAGCCACTTTGCACAGAGCAACGCTCCACAAATAGGTCACAAGGTGAGTCATGGATTTTATCTGGTGACCAGGACACTGGGAGACATTCCCTTCTCTCTTATAATCATAAAAATAATGGTAATCCTTGCATTTAATATAGCACCTTATCACATCTTCGAGACATCTCAAAGCGCTTCACAGAATATACTGTAAAGTGAATTGACTGTATTTTGTGGGCGAAACGTGGCAGCCAATTGTGCACAGCAGCGTCCCACAAACAATCGTAGATTGTTCTTCGCGTTGTATCCTAGGATCTTTAATAGCCTGAGCGCACGTTTGATCCGTTGGTTTGTTCATGTGTTTTTGCTGTATTTTAACTTGCCAATTTCTAATTTGCATTTTAGATTTGCGCGGACGGAGGAGCAAGTATTGGCCACGAGCAACAGGGGCTAGTGAAGAATACACTGGAATGCAAGTGGAACCTGGCAGAAGCACAGGAGAGACTCTGCACTTTGGAATTGCACAACTCCGAGTCCTTAGAGCAGGAGCATGCCAAGGCACAGACTGAATCCTGGGAACTCAAACGCAAGGAAGACGAGTGGAGACAGAAGGAGGAGGAGCTGATGTGGAATGAAAGGATGAATTCGTGGAATGTTGATACGATCAGCAAGGAAGGGTTCAATAGGGTGCGGCACATGCTTCCTTATACTAATCATGCTGCGGTTGTATTAATTATAGTAACAATCCTTGCATTTGATATAGAGCCTTGTTTCATTGTTGAGACATCTCAAAGCACTTCGCAGAATATATTGTGAAGTGGATTGACTGTATTTTGTGGCAGAAACGCGGCAGCAGTTGTGCAAAGCAGTGTCCCAAACCAGTCATGACCCAAAATAATTTTTTTTGAGGGATTATTACCCTCCAATTCACCAAATCAACTCACAACTGGTTCCTACTTACTGCTAGGTAAACAGATGCGTGTGGAATAAGGAGTAAAATTTTTGTCCTGCTCGGGAATCAAACCCGGGTCCTCTCACTTGTGAGGTGAGTGCGCTAACTAACCACTAAGCTACTGCACTCTGCAAGTTAACATATTAACGTTAGTAGAGCTATATAGACCTAACAGCTTGATTTTGAGCTTGAGCTTCTGCATGTCGATCCAAATTGAAGCCAAATTCTTACCATTTTACCTCTCATATCCAACTTCAACTTTTCGAGCAGGACAAACTTTATGTTTACTTTACTTGTTGGTATTCTTAAAGAGCTGGTGGGGCACATGCCTGTAGTATTATCCAAAACATTGTTATAAATACCCAGGTGGTTCAACATATGGAGCACGACTGAGTGAGCAAAGATTCATTCAGACTCACAGGATTTGAGACGTCCTGAAGTCGTGATAAGGCGCTATATCAAATGCGAGGATTATTACTCCAACCTCCCTTTCCTCTCCAAGGTCCTGGAATGAGTCATTGCTTTCCAGCTTCGGTCCTTCCTTTCCCGCCACTCCCTTCACGAACCCTTCCAATCGGGTTTCTGTGCCACCAACAAAACAGAAACAGCCCTGGTCAAAGTGACAAAGTGACATTCTGTCCATCTGTGACCAGGGCACCCTCTGCCTCCTCCTTGACCTCTCTGCTGGCTTCAACACTGTTGACCACTTTATCCTCATCCACCGTCTCTCCTCTCACCTCAACCTTCATGTTTCTGCCCTTGAATGATTCAGATCGTATCTCTCACACCGCCTCCACTTCATCTCCACAAACGGTTTCTCCTCTAGCTCCCGCACCATCTCATGCGGCGGTCCTCAGGGCTCTGTCCTTGGTCCCCTCTCTTCAAAACAAAAAACAATAATAAATTGGTCATTTTCAATCTACGACTGTTTGTGGGACATTGCTGTGCGCAATTGGCTGCCGCGTTCGCCCACAAATATACCGTCAATTCACTTTACAGTATATTCTGTGAAGCACTTTGGGACGTTTAAAACACGTGAAAAGCGCTATATCAAATGCAAGGATTATTATTATTTGCTCCCTCTTGGGACATCATCCACAGACACGGGGTCAACTTCCACATGTATGCGGATGACACTCAACTCTACCTCTCTGCCTCCACCCTTGATTCTACAACCACTGCTGTGCTGACAGAATGTCTGTCAGACATCAAGTCCTGGATGAGAGCTAACTTTCTTCAGTTGAATGTCAACAAGACCGAGGCTCTCCTGTTTAGCTCCCGTCAGCACCTCCTCACCTCAGGCGCTGACAGCATCACCATCCATGGTTGCACACTGCACCTTGCTAAGCCAGTCCAGAACCTTGGGGTCTTGTTTGACCCTCAACTATCCTTTCCACCCATATTTGCACCATGACCCGCTCTGCCTTCCCCCACCTCCGCAACATCGTCCGGCTCTGCCACTGTCTCACACCGCAGGCCGCCAAAACCCTCATACACACCTTCATAACATCGAGGCTCGACTATGCAAACACCCTGCTTGTCAGCCTCCCTAACTCCTCCCTCCACAGGCTGCAGATCATCCAGAACTCTTCAGCCCATGTCTCCTGCAACATGCTCCGTGACCCTATCACCCCCATCCTCGCCCAACTCCCCTGGCTTCTCGTCACACAGAGGATACAGATCAAGATCCAGATCCTCACCTTCAAAGCCCTCCACGACGCTCGCTTCCCCCTACCTCTGTAACCTCCTAACCACCTACCATCCTGCCTGCTCCCTCTGCACAGCAGGCACCTCAGCCCCCTCCCTGTCTCCTTCAAGACCCATCTCATGACACTTCTCTTCAATTGTGCTTTTGATCACTCAAAAATGATCTCCAGGTTCCCCAATCCCGTTCCTAATGCCACTGCCCTCCACCTTCCCCAATCCCGACACCTAGCTCTCGGGTCTGAAACACTGTCTGTCCAACACCTTAAGACATGAAAGGCGCTATACAAATTTAATGTTGTTGTTTTATTATTATTATTATTTATCTTGGTACAACTGGTAGTGCTCCTGAAACCAAGTCCAGCCCAATTCACCAGCCTGCCCCAGGACCCATTTGGTAGTTCAAGTTTAACAGCAAATTGCTTCTGATATTGTGGTGATTTTCTGCTGAACATGCAGAATAAACCTAGTTTAAATGCCATGTGGTGATCTCACAACTAAAAATTATCTTTGGAGATTTTCATTCACTGAATCTTTTTTGAGCAGTAAAAGGTCAGATTAATCCTGACATGGCATCTGTTTGCTATTACAATATTGATTACCCTGGTTACTAACAGGGGATTAACAAAAGCTCACATTATAACAGTCCGGCTGGTGCTATTGAACTTTGTTTTTGAAAAATCTACTGCAAATGTAGTAATAATAATCCTTGCATTTGGATTGCTCCTTTCACGTCGGGAGGACGTCTCAAAGAATTTCACAGGATATATTGTAAAGTATAGTGACTGTATGTTTGCAGATGAATGTGACAGCCAACTTGTGTACAGCAATGTCCCACAAACAGGCAATGCTGCCCCGCCCCCTCCCTACCCCAACCGGCTCAGTACTGTGCTCCACCACTGTCAAGCTCTGCGTGAGGAGCGCTATATAAATGCAAATTGTTGTTGAGTGAATGACAAATTCTATTTGGGATATTCTTGGCCAGAACTGCATTTGGCGTGTCAGCTTAGACTATATGAGTTCAAGTCCTGACATGGGGCTTGAACCCACAACCTTCTGACTCAGAGGCGAGAGTGCTGATGCATTTGATTTGCTGTTGAAATGGCCTGAGGAAATGGCCTGAGAAAACAAATGGCTTGTTTAATGGCCTTATTTAATGGCTTGAACAGATTTCACCGAAATACTTATGTGTCAGTGTGTGGGGGGAGGGGTGGGGGTTGAATTGTAATTACATTTGCGGCCACCTTGGTAATCCAGCCACCTCACAATTGCAGGCACATTTTCACAGTCTCTTTCATGGTCTATATTAAAGGATAGGCTTCAGTAAACCGACACCTCACTATTCAGGACAACGGCCATTGATTGCAGCCGCTACAGTGCCCTCCTCCCCTTCATACGCGGTAAAACACCCTCCTCCGCTACCAACCTGTACAGTACACAGTGAGCGAGGCCTTGGGCTTCTCGTGCTGTTTCCTCGACATTGCTACTGTGGGTGGAGCAGGTTCCGGTTGCTCATGCGCGGCACGAGGAGAAAATTGACTTTGCCCGGCGCCTGCGTCCTAACCTGAGCTCCTGCAGCCAATTCTTGGTAAGCGCTGTATTCAGAGTACATGGTTTGTGTGTACATTGCTTGTTTTGATTTATTGACTGTGGACCAGTGCCACTACGGAAAGACTTATCCTTACTTGAGAGAGTGGACTTACCCCCAGTTCTAACGAAGTGTCATGGACCCGAAACGTTGACTCACTTTCCTTTCTTCAAAGATGTTGCCTGACCTGCTGAGTGTTCCCAGGAACTTCTGTTTTTGTTTCAGATTTTCAGCATCTGCATATTTTGCATTTTGTTTATACCAGCCGCTCTGATATTCAGTTCTTAGTTATTTCAGGTGTCAGGCGTGATACAAGCTCAAAGGTGTCAATAATCCTACGGAGTTCTGTAGTCCTAAAGGATGAGCAGTTTGAAAAAGTTAGAAAAGGTGGGGGGTTATAAGGGGGGGTAAATTGTGCATCTTTCTGTACTGTCTGTCTGTACTCAATGCTCCAAGACATTGAAGGGCGCTCTATAAATGTAAGTTGTTGTTGGTGGTTTTAATTCTGTTCTCTCATCTTTTGTCGTAATCAGAGCGTTATTAACAAAAACATCAAGCATAAAGAAGCAGAGGAAGAGGCTGATGGCAAAGTCGCAACATTTGTCCAAAAATGTGAACGCCAGATCAAACACTTTGGTAAGTGGATCGCACTTGAATTGACAGGTTGAAATTGTGTAGATACAGGCAATTCCTGGGAACTTGTCACTCCATGGGAAAAGCGCTTGGTGACAAGTTATACAAAGTGGCGAGATGGGCATATGTATAATAATAATAAGTCCAATTACACCCTTGCCCCGTATTCCTTAATACTCTGACCTAACAAATAGCTATCAGTCAGGAGTAGAAGGAACGTTTTGATGGGATAATAATAATAATTATTTATATAGTGCCTTATCACATCTTCTAGATGTCTCAAAGCGCTTCACCAGAATATACTGTAAAGTGAATTGACTGTATTTTTTGTAGGCAACAAATTTTGTGTATTTATACAAGCTCAAAGGTATCAGTGATCCTTAAGTGGTAGTGGTACAAGTTACGACAGGGTTGAGTTATCAGGAGTTGATTGTATTAAGGTCCTGAATTTTCTGCCGTCAAAATGGCTGCTTTCTGCCTAATAGCCTTCCTATTCCAGTTATACTGTGGAAGCAAAATGGCTACTTCCAGTGGCACAGAGGTGTGGGGCAGTGATTTGTACATCCCATTCCTCATTGTAATAAAAGCAGAAGTCGCTGGAAACACTCAGCAGGTCCAGCAGCATGGATGGCGAGAGGAAAGTGAGTTAAAGTTTCAGGTTGATGATCTTTCCTCAGAGTTGAGTTCTGACCAAAGATTATCGACATGAAACGTTGACTCATTTTCCTCTCGCCATAGATGCTGCCTGACCTGCTCCATGGTCCCAGCGACTTCTGTTTTTACTACAGCATCTGCAGTATTTTCCCATTCCTCATTGTAATGGCCGGAGACCTTTTTTAAAGCATTGCCCAATCATGAGATTGGGCAATGCTTTAAAAAAAATGGTTCTGCTCGTGTTCTATGCTGGTTTCTCTTGCTGCTACTTAAGAACATTAAAACCTGCCCCCTGTAAGTTGGTGGTGATCTGCAAAAGAGCTTCCAAAGGGCCACATAGGTGAGTGGTCTCCAGCAGCTGAACTTGTTGCTGTTGTGTTCCTTCTGTAGTAGTAGCTTCTGAAACCATCTGATATCAGAAGCAGGGGTTTAGGATGCTTTGCATTGGCTGAATCCTGATATATATATAATATATATATGATATTATACACATCTGGTAATTCATCATGAAGTATACAGTATAGACGCAGCATTCAAAGTACTGTTTCTAATTCCACACACCCCACTTCACCTCCGGCAACCCATGCAGTTTTTTTTAAAAAAAGTAATGATTGATTAGAAGATTTAATGCGATTTCAGTAAAAAAAATTGAAGTGTTGCATGAATTGGTTATTGGAATTGTCTCCTACTTTAGCTTATTTAGCCTCTGCATCCTTCCTTGGTTTGGCTCTTGGCTAGTTTCCGAACTTCTGGGTGTGGTACTTGTGAGATGGCCGATGAAAATGTCATAAAGTGATATTGCTATGTTTTTTCAGGAACCTCTTGCTTCCGCTCTTCCAATGACTTCCTCCCCCCGCACCACAATATATAACTAACAAAGTGCTTTATTCAGTTATTATACGATTCACATTTATATAGTACTCTCACATCAAGAGGCTATCTCAAAGCACTATTGATGGTGCAGTGCTGATTTAGTGGAATTTTTTTTAAATAAGTTACATTTTTGGCTCATTTTAATTTTGCACCTTCATTGCATTTTATCCCTGCTCTTGTTTTGTAGGTTTGCCTCAAGGAATACAAAATGTCCACTTTTTATATTTGAAATGCATAAGGTTAAGCTTTGATTCACTAACTGAATGAACTTTACAGTCTGTACAGCTAGGTGCTTTGGTATGTCCTCTGGATGTAAAAGGCACTATACTAAATGTAAGGATTATTATTATTATAAACTTGTGTCATGGTGATGTAGTTCTAGTCAGTGTAGGAGCTCCTGTGCCAGGAAATATTTTAGCGTGTAACGTTGCACTTTTTAAAAAAAACAGTTTTGATGTTCTGCTCTATAAATAGGACCCAATGTTCAAAGACTGCATATCCCAGTTATGTATGTCTGCCATTGTAGGAATGCTGAAGCGATGGGTGGACAGTCAGAGACACCTGTCGGATCACCCTCACCTCATCTGTGAAGAAACTGCTAACTACCTTATAAAGTGGTGTTTTTATTTACAAAAAGCAGAGGTGAGCCCATAGAGAAAGACTGATACCTTTCATATCATAGGTTTGGTTTGTGCTATTATTACTTTCTGTCCTTTGTATATACTTTGGGGGCAGTAATGTTTCACTTGTTTAGTTGCAGTTCAAACAGAAATCTTGTTGATGAGGAAAAGTCACCTGACTTTGAAACACTCCACTGTTTCAGCATTAATTTTATTCTGTGCAAATTGCACCGAATGTAGGCGGTGGCTGGATGTGGCTATTGTGCACCACAGGGTGTCGCAGGAGAGTAATCTGTGAGACTCGCTCGTCTGTGAGACTGATCTGCTAGGCTGTTTAGAAAAGACAGGCCACAAAGCTGAGACGTTTCAATTAAAAAACAACTCAATATTCCCCACTCTCGCACACATTGTGACTGAGTCACTGAATGAAAGTTGGAAACTGGGTCACCTGGTTAGAGAACCATAGGTGGCGCAGAAATAAAAGTAGGGGAAATGCCTTACTGAAGTGAACTGCAGCTATGTAAATCTTTGGGAATCACAGGGTAGAATGCAGCAGGTTTGAGCTCACCTTAGGAACACTCACCCCTCTAAATGCAGTTGTGCATTTGAACGCTACACTGGGACTTGTAACTCGTATGTTACATGCTGACATCCCAGTGTAGTTCTAGGGGAGCATAGCATTGTCAGATGTGCCAAACTTCAGATGAGATATTTAAATCAAGGTTCTGCCTGTTCAAGTGGATGTTAAAGCTCCCATGGCCCTACTTGAAAAGACAAGGGAGTTTCTTTCCTGGTGACCTGACAAACAATCTCCCAACAAGCAAATGGTCATTCACTTCTTTGCTGTCATTCGGGGCATTGCAGTTTGCAAATTGGCTGTCATGTTTCTCTCCCCCTCACCCCGACACCCCACCCCACACACACACAATATTAATACACTTTACAGTAAAATCCTGTGAAACCCTTTGAGGTGTTGTTAAAGACTGGCTTTAAAAGTGGGGAGGGCTGAGGAGTGGAGTCGGAGGGTCACTGGAATATTGAGAATCATCAGGTTGTTAATAATAATTAACTAACTGCTCTTGTGTAATGCTGAATGCTGCAAGCGGTATGTGGCCTGATAGAACCAAAAGGGTGGGTGGGGTGGGAAGATTGGTTTCTGATGCTCAAAAGTAACAGAATAACATTGGTTCACCTTGACCCCCTGATCTGTACCTCCACCAGTTACCAGGGCGCGTAACTGAACTTGAGGTACAGATCAGCCATGATCTTATAGAATGGCGGAACAGGCTGAAGGGGCTGAATAGCCTACTCCTATTTCTAAGTTTTTATGTTTCTATAATCCACCTATTTTTATTTTTCACAGAAACAGGCTTTGATGGAGCAGGTAGCTCACCAGGCTGTCGTGATGCAGTTTATTGTAGAAATGGGCCGAAACCTTCACCAAGATCCGAGGGGCTGCTTCAGGCAGTTTTTTGAAAAAGCAAAAGTAAGAGTTTTGAATGTAAAAAATCTTTTTTTGTTGTTGTAAAAACTAAAGGTATTAAGTGGTGGGGATTATTGATTATTGATTTGGGTGATCGCCCCAGGCAGCCTAGCTGATCGTCAGGCCCCAGGAGGCAGGCTGATTACTTGGAGCAGGAACTCTTCCACTCGGCTCCTGTTAACCCTGCAAACCATAACCCTCATGCTCATGTGGTCTTAGTTAGGACAGGCAGCGGGAAGCTTACCAGACCAGTGCTCACAATAGCTCACAATTAAATAATTAATATTATTTAATATGTGTTATTTAATAGTTTAATAATTATTTAATAAATTATTTAATATTATTATTTAAATATTATTATTTAACATTTGGGTCATTGAATCACTCCTTCCAAAAGGAAATCTGTCTAATCACAATTTAAGTGAGATAATGGAGGAAATCTGCATCCATCCCTGTAGAAAGGGAGCAGAAAGTAAAATGCTTTTCTGGAGAAGATGGGGAGAAAATTTGAGAAAATTCACTTAAACTAATTAAGTGAGCTTGGAGAAAACATAGAAGTTATGTAGAGGATTATGAATGCTAGTACAGTTCTTTACGATGGTACATAAGCTACACATTAGTTTTGGGGGGTCAGCCAGGTGTCTTGACATGTACGGAAACCCATCACCATGCTTAAGAGTTTTATCTAAAGTAAACTGAGTTCTGTGTTCTGTATACACAAGAAAGTTTCTGACTATTGGAATGGAATGTACATCCTGGTGGGATGCTTCCTGCTAACCTAGTTCTGAAGAGTATTGGGTGCAGCCAAGGCTTGGGGACCCTAGAGTGTTCCTTTGAGGGGTCTAAGCAGCTAAAACCACTTATCTTGTCATTGAAGGCATTCTCTGGCAAGCCTTGTGCTACTTGTTCTTTTGGAAGGAGTGATTCAATGTCCCAAATGGTCCTTTTGTTCTGTCCTGTGGTCCTTTGTTCTTGCAATTTAACTGCAGACAGGAGGGAAAACTATGCAAGTACTGTACTGTAGATGGAAGGGGAAAATAAAACAATTGGGAAGTTCAAGATATAGTTTACATGTAATTTTGTTCCTCCCATCAAGATTGCTGATGAGGGATACATGGAAGCGTTTCATACTGAATTGGAAGCATTTATCCAGAGGGTACGAGAATTTTCACAAGCAAAAACTGCAGAGTCGGTAACGATGGACAAAGTAGTTCGGGACTTTGAGCTCACAGTCTGGGCTGAGACGCCAATGCCATGTTGGGGAAATGCTGTATTTTCAGAGGTGCCATTTCTTTGGATAAGACAAGATGATTAACAATCCTCCCAATAAAAATTGTTTGTTTATTTCATGGCTGTTTGTGAGATTTGCTGCTGGGTTGGCCTACAAATATAGTCATTTCACTTTACAGAAAAAATCATTGAAATGTCATAAAATGCTTCACAGTTATAGTTACTTTTTCAAATTAAAAGGTAGATACTATTTGAGGTCAGCAGTGGGGTTTGAGCCAGTAACCTGTGGATTTGAACCCAGTTGTGATCCTGATGTTGCGAAACGTTTCATGCAAAAGTAATAATACAATAATAATCCGTGCGTTTGATATAGCGCTTTATCACATCTTCGAGACATCTCAAAGCGCTTCACAGAACATACTGTAAAGTGAAGTGACTGTGGGTTTTGTGGGCGAAAAACGGCAGCCAATTGCACACAGCAGTGTCCCACAACTAATCGTGGATTGAGTGACCAAATTATTTTTTTAAAATTAATACTGTTTATTAAGTCCTCATTCACTCTCATTTATAAGTGCAACAGTTGGTAGTATATTTCATTATGTGAAAAATTTAGTATCTCCCATATTGAATTGACTGAATATTTCCTGATTTTTTTTAAAAATAAATCTTTCCGATGAATATGAAAGCTCTTTCAGTGCAGCGATTCAGGACTGACAGTCTCAAAGGATAACTTTAAGCCAATTCCCTCATTCACAACATCTCCAACAGCCAACTCTATTATTCTTGCATGATATAGCTTGGAGGAATAGGATTCCTATCAATATTGTATTGTCTAATCCAAATCATTCCAGTGGGACACATTTTCAGGCTAACTGCTTCTCTCTATTGGTTTTGCTATTCTTCCTTTTCATTCTTGTCCCTACTTTTTCAGAAAAAAACACATTTCCAATCTCATTCTTAGCAGAATCCTTTATGGATCATATATTGGGTGGGCCGCGTATATTTCCTTAGATTTTCTTTATATAAACATATGAAAGACAGAACAACAACAACTTGCGCCCTCCATGCCGGGCGACATCTCAGAGCACTTAATCACTTGATTTCGATTAGTTTTTTTTTACATTGTTTCCTATTTTATTCTTTGCATCTGTAGATATCAAAAACGCTGATTTCCCCTAGAAGCTGATCTGAATTAGGCATTTATAGCCAGATGCTTTTTGTCACATTCTGTACTATTAATTAGATACGTGCTTCATTTTCACAATTCCTCAAATAAATTGCTATTTCTAATCCTTCCAAGGTAGCCTGTTTGCTGTTTGCATACATTTGCAGTACCAGCAGAACTTTCTGGGGTGATCAGAAGTTTGAATACTGGCAGTTTCCCTCCATTGTCTGCAAATGTTTATTTCAAGCGTCTATTTTATGGGCTCAATGATGGAGTGTTTCTACTTCTGCAGCAAAAAACTTAGGGAATGACAATGGCTGTGTTGACATAATGACAGCTAATAATAGTAATCCTTGCATTTGTAATAGCGACATTCATGGCAGAAGCGCTTTATAGGATATACTATAAAGTGCAGTGACTGTATTTGTGTATTTGGAGTCCTGTAGTTTAATGGTTAGAGCACTCGACTTGCAAGTGAGAGGACCTGGGTTCGATTCCCGGGCAGGGTGAACCTTTGGGCAAGTTTCCTACTCCACACACCTCTGTTTACCTAGCAGTAAGCAGGAACCCTGTTAGTCAATTGATGGATCGCTTTTTCAGGGATAATAATCCCTTAAAAAAAATTTGGTAACTTAATCCATGACTGTTTGTGGGACACTGCTGCGCGTAATTGGTTGCAGCGTTTCATCCACAAAATGCACAGTCACTACAATTTAATTCTGTGAATTCTGTATATTCTGTGAAGCGCTTTGAGACGTCTCGATATCAAATGCAAGGATTATTACAACAACAACAACAACAATTACGTTTGTATAGCGCCTTTCACGTCGGGAGGACATCCCAAGGCGCTGAATATATTATATATTGTAAATGTGGCATTGATTTCCGCACAGTAATATCCCGCAAATAGCTGTGAAGTGAGTGACTAATTTTACCTGGGGGATTGTCGAAGGGGTAAAAGTACTTAAAATCTTAAAATATATTTTTCTTAAAATATTTGTTCTCTTTCTCCCTCCTTCCTTCCTTCATTATATGAAGTGTTTATTTGGAAATGTAAAGCCAGTCCTGCAGAGAGATGAAACTTTACTGTGATTTTTTCTCTGACTGATTTCAGGAGCTCAAAAGATGCTTCCAGTTACAAGATGTGCAGCTCCTCCAAAACGTCCTTAGTGATATGGACCCTCAGGTATGTTGATGATGTGAGATTTTATCATTGTGAAGTCTTTACAAATGGACTTAACTGGTAATTCCAGGAAGGGCAAATTCTAATGATATTAATCAATAAGAGACCAAGACCCTAGTATAGGGTTACTATAATAATAATAATCCTTGGATTTTGATATAGGGCCTTATCACGTCTTTGAGACATCCCAAAGCACTTCAAAGAATATACTGTAAAGTGAATGGTCTGTATATTTTGTGGGTGAAACACACCAGCAGTCGTGGATTGAGTGATCAANTTTTTTTTGAAGGAATTAATACCCCAGAAAAGCGATCCGTCAAATGACTAACAACCGGGTACCTACTTACTGCTAGGTAAACAGAGCCGGAAGGAGTAAGGAAACTTGCCCAATTTTTCGCCCTGCCAGGAATCAAACCCAATTCTCTCGCTTGCAAGGCAAGAGGTCTAACCACTGAGTTAAAGGACTTACTGGAAGCGCATGTTTTATTTTGCCAATCTTCTCATTTCCACCACCACCCCCAACCCCCATTTATTTCAAATGAAACCTATCTCATGTTGTATGTGAAAGTGCAGTTGACCACGACAAAGAAGTTGGGAGTGTCAAGTGCTCTGGGACATTACCCTGCGTGTGGGGCGCTATATAAATGCAAGTTGTTGTATCAAGAATTGGTGCGAGACAATAGTTGTACTAAAGTAAAACAGGCCTTTTTTGAATTGGTGTAGACTTGAATAAGTCAAAAAATGTGCTGGGGGAAATACGCATTGCTTTCGGGTTCTCTTGAGTTAAATGACATTTGCTTTTTTTCCCCAATAACAACAATTCTGAGATGCTCTGGTGTTCACATGCCCTTCCTTGACGACTGGTTCAAACCATTGTGATTGAGGACGGATGGTATTAGTTTTCTCTTTCAGGATTTTGTTAAGAAATAGATTTTTTTTCTCATTCATTTCTGGGCAGATACTCTTCCCCAGAATGGAAACGTAGATATTGTTCATGTTCCCAAGCTTCCTAACCACTTATGTTTCTTTGTTTCTTCTGTCGTGGATGAAGAAATAATAATAATAATTCTTGCATTTGATAGAGCGATTTTCACATCTTCTGGACATCTCAAAGCACTTCACAGAATAGACTGTAAAGTGAATTGACTGTATATTTGTGGGTGAAATGCGGCAGCCGATTGGGCACAGCAAGGAAACTTGCCCAAAGTTCGCCCTGTTGAGAGCCGAACCCAGAGCTCTCACTTGCGAGGCGAGTGCTCTAACCACTGAGCTACAGGATAATGCCCCAGTTATGGGTAAGTTTTGATCATGGATAACACAACATAATCCATTCTCAACAGGAGAACTATTTCAACAAGGAGTAACTGATGAGAACAGAAACTACACTTGATCATGGAGTCAGGTAACTTAGTGGTTAGAGTACTTGCCTCACAAGTGAGAGGACCAGGGTTTGATTTCCAGGCAGGGCAAAACAGTCACTCATGGTGAGTCAGCACTGGATGTTATTGCAAATGTAGCACCACCTAAATAGAGCTGCATCTGCAAGATTGGAGTCCATCCTATTTTTTTAAACAATAAAAACTCTTCTAGGCCCCAAAATAGTGTCCAATTTTTGTCTAATTTTCTGCCCATTTAGCATATGTTCAAGGTCCATCTCACGATGTGCACATTTTATTATTGAAGAACTTGTCCATTCTCTTTCTCAGGTTGCAGAACACTGTTTGCAGCATTGTATTGATGCAGGCCTAAGGATCTGCAATTCAAAGGAAGCCAAAGAAGAAAGAAGTGAGGAACCCACAATGGATACTTCCTAATCTGTTGCTGTTGTGCAGTGGCTCTCTACAAGGATGCTTGCGTATTAAAAAAAACCTTCAGTGCAGTGAGAGAAAAGCTAGCTATTTTTGTATGTAACTTGTTTACTTGCCTGTTTGAATGCTGCACTTTATATTCATCAGGATTGTTAAAAACTCTAGTTAATTCCTTATATTCCATGGCAATAAATGGTTTCTGATAAGATTTAGATTCAAGCACCGGGTAATTGGCTGTTCGTGGGATGGAGTTTGCCCAAGATGTTTTTTTTATCCTTGTTTGACCTATGCAGGCCAAATTCTGTCTACTTTGGTTTTGCTTTGCAGAATATCAGTTGCATTGAGCAGTGAAATGAGTCACAGGGCGGGTTTTGTTTCCTTGCAGAAGGACTTTTTTGGGGAGTAAATCTGGGAATAAGTTGCACCCGATGGCAAATTCTTGGAATTCCATACAGGAGCCACTGTCTTTCAGTAACAAGAATCTATAATTCTTTCAAGTTCCTCAACTAATAAAAATATGAGCTTCCCAATGTTTGGTATGTAGTGAAGGGGATGTAGGTTGGTGCATGTGATTTTTTTATATTCATATTAAAAATTAGTCCCTCTCTCAACTAAACCATGGTTTGGCCAGCTCTGAAAAATTATAAGCTGGATTTTTTTTAACCAAAAAAAGGTTGGAATAATGTGTGTTCTTTTAAAGTTAGACCACTGAGTCTCTTGAAGTTGACGGTTTATCTCCCACATCGCTGGTTAAAAATTGCAGTGACACTGGGATCTGTTTGTTCAATGAATCTTATGGAAATTTTCAGCAGACTAATAGTCTTAAGTGTTACAGCATCAATGGGACTACTCAAATTCAAAAGACAAAGCTTTGGGTACTGCAGACTTCCTAGGCACAAGCACTCCTTAATGTAGTCCATATTTTTCTCAATTCTCTAGCCCCCTTGCCGGAGGTATACAAACTGTTATTGTTTTAATGTTGGCTCAAATGTATCAAATCCACAAAGGATAGTTTACTGGAGCTGCCTCTCCAGTGTGTGAGATGATCTCAGAGATGGAAACTTTGGGTTAATTTTTTTGCCTGTGTGAATGAAACATCTGTGTCCTCATTGGGAGTGATTACAAGGCATTGCAGTTGGGCCCAACTTGGTGACAGGTATATACCTGAATACAGCAAGTTGAAGTCAATGAGAACCGTTCAATAAATTCTGCTAGTATAGAACACAAATAGAATTGTTGGACTCTCTTTCTCTTCTCCGCGCCCCCCCCAGCCCCAGTGGATCTGGATGACATTGGCACAGACATATTGAAGCAGACATATTGGATCTCAGAATTTACTCTCTGTCCCAGGAGACTTGTTAAACATGGTGTAAAGTTTTCTTACAATTTCACTTGATCCACTCTTTAGAATTAACTTTCCAACATCTTTGTAAGTGTAAAGAGCAAAAGCATCAAGAATGTTCTGTGTTACTGTTGCTTGACGGGAAGGACAAAGGAAACCTTTTATTTAGAGTGCCAAAAATGGCATGCAACACCCCAACCCTGCAGCCTGAACACCCCATTGAATGAGCTGTAGATCTCACTCTGGATTGATAGATCTTATAAAGTAAGATTTGACTTGGGAGCTCATTTGAATTCAGGTTTAATACTCCATTGTTACAGTCCAGTCCTGTCACAGTCAGTTTAACCACAACTTGCGTTGGCTGATTCTTGTGAGTGGGGTGGGAGTGATCAATGTACACTTTTGACGGAAGGCATAGATGTTTAGTTTTTGCACTGACATGTTTGCATTTGGGACACTGCTGTGCGCAATTATCTGCCGTGTTTCGCCCACAAATATATGGTCAATTCATTTTACAGTATATTCTGTGAAGCACTTTGAGACGAAAAGCGCTGTATCAAGTGCAAGGATTATTATTATTATTGTGGAAGATTTAACAACCGAGTTTTCTTTCCTTGGTCCTGAATAAATGTATTAAAACTAGAAAAATGTTGTGTTTTATCTTACTTTGAATACATTTTTAAAGTACACCTCATTTTTTTCAATTGTTGCACTGCATAATTGTCAGATAATTTAATTATAAATTTCACAATCGCTACTCCTATACAGAATTCGAGATGTCTCAAAGCACTTCACAGAATATACTGTTTTGTGGGCGAAATATGGCAGCCAATTCCACACAGCTGTGTCCCATAAACAGTTGTGGATTGAGTGACCAAATTATTCTTATTATATTAATAGGTTTGGTTCAGCCAAGTGTTGCATCTTAAACAATAAAACTGCTTTATTGTTCAATCGAAACAAATTGCCAATATAGTATAGGTTTGTGGTGGTGGGAGTGAAGAATAGAGATTTTACAAAGGTTTATGGTAAATATAGACCTTTTTGTAATGGAAATTTTGAAACTAAAACAATTTATCCCAGTGTTATAATATATACACTCTGACACACACAGGGATCAGCAATAGATTCTGGACCCTGCTGGTATTACCCAATATCCAAAGGAAATGATAAAAATGTTAAATAATGACAACCACTTTCCCTGTGGCATTAGCAGTCAGGATACCCGTTTCAATACTCATTTCTCAGGGCAAATAAAATAATAATCCTCGCATTTGAAATAGCTCCTCATCACATTGTCAAGACATCTCAAAGCACTCAAAAGGATTTTGCTGTGAAGTGTGGGTGACTGCAAAAGCAGCAACCTACTTGCACACAAATAGTGTCCCACAAACAGCCATGGAGTAAATCACAAATTTTATTTTGGGGGATTGTTGGCCAAGATACCAGGAGATAGCCCTTTCTATTTTCAAATAGTGCCATGAGATCTTTAATTAGATCCCCATCTCACCCCATTCCTCTCTCCCTCCCCACTTTCGAACCTGTTTCCCACTCTTCTCAACACTATAACCCGCATGAAAACTGCTCCCTCGACCCCATCCCTAACTTATCTCCCAGCTCCATCTTCTTGCCCCTCTACTCACAGATACCATATTCGGCCTGCTCATTGGTACCTTTCCCACCCCTTTAAAAACAGCCGTCATCACTCCTATCCTTAATAAACCCTCCCTGGGCCCATTCCTGCTCTCAAACTACCACCCCATCTCCAACCTCCCTTTCCTCTCCAAGGTCCTGGAACAAGTCGTTGCTTCCCAGCTTCTCTCCCGCCACTCCCTTCACGAACCCCTCCAATTCGGTTTCCATGTTACCCACAGCACAGAAACAGCCCTGGTCAAAGTGACAAGTGTCATTCTGTCCATCTGCAACCAGGGCTTCCTCTGCCTCCTCGCCCTCAACCTATTTGCTGCTTTAGACACTGTTGACCACTCTATCCTCATCCACCATCTCTCACCTCAACTTTCTCGGCGCTGTCCTTGACTGGTTCAGATCATACCTCTCACACCACCTCCACTTCATCTCCACAAGTGGTTTCTCCTGTAGCCCACACACCGTCTCGTGCAGGGTTCCTCAGGGCTCTGTCCTTGGTCCCCTCTCTCCAATATCTATTTGCTCCCTTTTGGTGACATCATCCACAGACACTGGGTCAACTTCCACATGTATGCGGATGACACTCAACTCTACCTCTCTACCTCTACCCTCGACTCCAAGACCACTGCTGTGCTGACAGAATGTCTGTCAGACATCAAGTCCTGGATGAGAGCTAACTTTCTTCAGTTGAATGTCAACAAGACCGAGGCTCTCCTGATTGGCTCCCGTCAGCGCCTCCTCACCTCAGGCGCTGACAGCATCACCATCCATGGTTGCACACTGCACCTTGCTAAGCCAGTCCAGAACCTTGGGGTCTTTTTAGACCCTCAACTATCCTTTCCACCCCACATCTGCGCCATGACTCGTTCTGCCTTCCCCCACCTCCGCCACTGTCTCATATTGTAGGCCACCGAAATCCTCATAAACATAATCATAACATCGAGGCTTTGAAAATGCCAGCTCCTTGCATTTGAAATTGTTGGCCTCAACTCCTCCCTCCATAAGCTGCAGATCATCCAGAACTCTGCAGCACATGTCCTCTCCCGCACTAGGATCCATGGCCCTATCACCCCATCCTCGCCCGACTCCACTGACTTCCCATCACACAGAGGATACAGTTCAAGATCCTGGTCCCCATCTTCAAAGCCCTCCATGATCTTACTCCGACCACCTCTGCAACATCTTAACCCCCTACCATCCTGCTCGCACCCTCCACTCAGCGTGTTCCAGCCTGCTTCACGCCCTCTGACTCGCCTGCCCCACCGTTGGCAGGCGGGCCATCTGCCACTCTGTCCACGTCCACTGGAACTCCATCCCTCGGCCTCGCCCTGTCCCTTGGCTCCTTCAAGCCCCATCTCAAGACCCTCCTCTTCGACCATGCTTTCAATCACCCTGCTTCGCCCCCTGCCCTCCACCCTCCCCAATCCCAGCCCCCAGCTCAGGTCCAAAACACTGACTGTCCAGCACCTTGGGACGTCCTCCCGTCACGAAAGGCGCTTTACATATATAATTTTGTTGTCGTTTAACATCCACCTCAAAGTAATGTCTCATCTGAAGGACCACACACACCACACACACAGCACTGGACTGTCAGCCAGGATAATAAGTTCAACCACAACACATTTCCATTTTGTAGCACCTTTCTTGGCGGGAGGATGTCTCCATGTGCTGGGAACACCTTTCAAAGACTTTAAAGTCCTGACGCGGGATTTAAAACCACAAGTCTGACTCAGAGGCGAGAATGCTGCCAATTGAGTCAGGTTGATAAGCAGTCTTCACACATGGTACTGTCCCAGAGCGCTTGACAGCAGTGGAGTCTGACCCCGAGCCAGGGGGAGGTGACGTAAACACAATCAAAAAGGAAGGTCTGTAGGCTGGATTTGACAGTGGTGAGGGAGGGGGCAAGTGGGAGGGGTTGAGGAAGAGAGTTCCAGAGCATAGTGGCTGAAGGCACAGTCACCGATGGTTGAGTGGAGGGGATGGGGGACAACCAGGAGGCCGGAGCCAGTCGAGCGGAGGCAGTGGGTGGTGGTGTGGGGGCGTAAGCAGAATGGATAGGTAGGGATATGAAGGAATTTGAAATCGATCCATTCACCTTTAATCAGGTTTACTACTTGTGGGCATTTCGCCAACAAACATTTCACTTCACCCTGTGAAGCACTTTGGGACATCCCGACGTGAAAGACACTATACCAAATGCAAGGATTATTTATTATTATTTCTATTATGATTGGAAGATGTTACAATTGCTGCTGTAGTCTACAGTGAATCAGATGTTTTGCCATTTCTTAATAGCAAAGATTATAATAACAATTCATACATTTGGATTGCGCCTTTCACATGAGGACGAAGTCCCAAAGCACTTTACAGGATATACGGATTGAAGTGGAGGTTCATATATAATAATCCTTGCATTTGATACAGCGCTTTAAATGTCTTCTAGACGTCTCAAAGCACTCCACAGAATATACTGTAAAGTGAATTGACTGTGGGTGAAACGCAGCAGCCAATTACACACAGCAGTGTCCCACGTGGGTTGAAGTGACCAATTTATTATTGGTTTTTTTCTTGAGGGATTGTTATCAGTCGTGCGGAGTAAGGAAACTTGCCCAAGTTTTCGCCGTGCCGGGAATGAAACCCAGGTTTTTCACTTGCAAGGCAAGTGCTCTAACCGCTGAGCTACAGGACTCCACCTTGACCTAGATTTGACCTGAAAATGCTAAACTTCATTTGATGGCATCATTAACATGTGATGTTTAAGTAATCAAGTGAGCAGCGATGCAGGAACGTGATGTGTGCAAAATAATATGTTTGGTTTCTCTGGGAATGGACTGATCATTCATGATGGAACTGTACCAAGCTGCCAAATTTCAATTAATACAATTTGAATCACATCAAAGTGACATCATGAAAGCAGCCTTGCATTTAATATAGCTCCTTTCACATTGGGAGGATTTTTATTGTGAAGTTTAGTGATTGCGCACTTTGTAGACAATCTTTGTAACAAACGTGGAACCATGCTGGAACTATTCTCCAGTTGGGTTGACAAAATTAAGTATTTGAACAAATATTGATCATTAAATAAAGCATTTACACAATATAATTTTCAAAATAATTGAACTACAAAAGTTTAATTCAGAGTACTCTTTGAGTAACAAAAGCAAAGTTTTGCTGTTAAATTGCTACTAGTGTGATCATGATCTTTACACATAATTATCATAAACAATTTTACTCAGCATTAACTATTATTACATTGGAGTCAATCGTAGTGTTTTCAGATGTGATTGAAAAGACAATTTAACAAATTAAGGTCCTTATGATATATACAGATCACACTAAGTATAATTTGTAAGATCTGCACACTATAAAGAGTTGATAAAGAGAGAGAAGATGGAACAATAATCCCACACCAGAACCTGGAATGAAGGGTAGATTGAGCCAAGTCCTTTAGCAATTAAAAAATGAACTTGTCCTTCAGTTTCCTGGAATTACTTCAATTCCTTGTCAAGAGTATACACAAGGACTGCATTGAAATCCTGAGGCTAACAAAATTATAACTGCCAAATTCAAATGCAGAAACATATTGCAGGTCACAAGATATGCCATAGGAATATTTATGAGTTTGTGCAAGTAATTACAATGTCAAGCATTATGTGAAGTAGATGCTTTAATGATGGAATAGGCCTCTACTCAACTGGGTGCAATCCGACTTGTTCTTTGAACCAGTTTTCAAGTAAAATCAAAACTTTTCTCAGGTTTCCTATAGATCAAATGCGATTTTTAAAAAAAATTCCCAATACTTTGTGTTTGTTTTCCTGAAAGTCTAAACCAATAAAAAGGTGTCTAAAAACACTAATGGTAGTTGTGCCATTTGAAGGTAAGATGTGCGGTGTTCTTCATTTTCTTGAGCCATTGCTCGATTCCTCCATTTAACTGAGTGCGGGCAGTTTCTTGCTGAGAAAATCTCGTACGTGAGGCCAAATCATGTTGGTTTCTGTGCCAGAGAAGATTTCTAAAACACCTTTATTTCTACAGAAAGAAACACAGCAAAACTATCTCTCAAGTTGAATTGGAATCAGACCCTTTTTGTAATCTGGTGTCCCAATAATAATAATAATCCTTGCATTTGATATAGCGTGTTATCACATCTTCGAGAAGTCTCAAAGCACTTCACAGCGTAGACTGTAAAGTGAATCAACTGTATATTTTATGGGCAAAACACAGCAGCCAATTGCGCCCAGGAGTGTCCCACAAACAGTGTCATGGATTGAGTGACCAATTTATTATTATTACTATATGCATGTTTAGGTTATTAACAAAACTCACAAAATAAACCCTTCAGAACACATTTTGTGCTCAGTGTCCACTCAATTTTAAACATGTTACTCTAAAGGTTTCCCACATAGGTGATGCAATACTCCCAAGATGCATCTACGCAGAATTAACCTTCACCAGAACTTACTGATAATATTCCAAAACTGGGCTTGTTAGTTCTTCATAGGCTTGGAGCCTTAAAATCACAGTCTCTGGCTTGTCATCATCTCGTTGAACCAGGGATTCCCCTGTAATGTTGTCAAGCCCCTTTTATTAAACAAAAAGTTCAGAGATAATAAAACAATTAATAACATAATACAAATTTACATTTATATAGGACCTTTCATGGTAGCATAAATACAACACAACATTACATTTGTATAGCGGATTTAGACCTGAGCTGTGACAGTGGAGGGCATCAAGGGTAGGAGGGTGGCTGAAGGCTCTGTCGAAGAGGAGGGTCTTGAGATGTGCCTTGAAGGAGCGAGCTAGCCGAAGGGAATGTGGGATGGAGTTCCAAAGGGTACAGGTGGAGAGGCTGAAAGACCGGGGGACGTGCCGGGTGGGGGACGTAAAGCCTGCTGAGTGGAGGAAGCGGACAGGTTGGCATGGGGTGAGTAGATCACAGAGGTAGGAGGGTCAAGGCCGTGGAGGACCTTGAAGGCGAGGACGAGCATTTTGAACTCTATCCTCTGGGGGATGGGAGGCAGTGGAGTCGAATGAGGGTGGGGGTGATGGGGTCATGGACCCTGGTGCCTGCATGAGCTGCACAGTTCTGGATGATCTGCAGCTTGTGGAGGGAAGAGTTGGGAAGGCCGACAGGAAGACACACACAGAGTAATGTCAGCATAATCTGATGACCTAGAAGTCAGCTTTAACTTGATGCCAACATCACTTCCTACTTTGCACGTGTGCAGCACACAGAAAGCGACGTTGCTCACATCTCAAAAGGTGGCTTTCTTTTTTTTATATTTAAAGATAAGGTCCAGAAGCAGCCTGCTCACAGAGAGCCAGACAGCCTGCTACACAAATGCAGTTATATTGGCTGTTGCACTGGCTGTTGATCAAGAATTCCTGTTCCTGATTGATATCTTGAGCCTCTGTTGGCAACTGTATCATTGGGAGAAACCGGACTGGGCTCAAGATGCATCTCACAGTCAATTATCCAGTGAAGAACTGGTTGGGCACTGAGGTGACATACTGGAGCCTGAGGAACTGCATATCGATGGAAGGAAAAGAGTCAAATGTATTAAAGTAAGAGAAAGAACAAGCACATTCACCGAGACAAAATCTGACCAACTAGCTATTAAGAGTTTTAACGTGTTGCTTGCATATTTTTATACAAAACGTCTTTTGTTTACAGAGTTAAGAATATCTACTCAGTGTGAACAGGGGATACTCAACTGGAACTTTTGGAGGATTGAAGTCGATATTGTAGACTCTTCCACTCTCCTGGTGAATCCAGCGAGATGTCAGTCGCTGTTTGATGGTCTCAAAGGGGACATTCAAATTGATCACCGTGTCTGGCTGGTAAAGTTTATTCAATGCCTCTGCCTGTGGCACAGTCCTCGGAAACCCTTTGAAATCATGACAAGAAACTGGACAATTCAGCAAAATATCACTTTACCTTGTTCACAATGCTGTTGTCAGATTGATAAGCTTTCCTTCCTGGCATTCAAAATATTTTTTACTTAAAAAATAAATAAAAAGTTGTGCTGCGTGCCCCAAGGCTAAATGAGCTTATCCAATTAATAACTGTAAAGTCCTAGATTTGATCTGGTCTGCAGTGAAGTAGCAGGTCTCTAGCCAGGTGAGCAGTACAGCGGCACAGTTGGCATTAAGCACCCAATGAGCGCAATTGCTGTGTGCAATTGGCTGCCTCATTTCACCCATAAAATATAGACAATTCACGTTATAGTATATTCTGTGAAGCGCTTTGAAGCGTCTCAATAACATGATAAAGCACTGTATCAAATGCAAGAATTATTATTATTATGATTTTAAGAAGGGGAAAATCCTGAACTCTATGCAACTCCACCTATGGGAAATTTGTATGTGGGCACTAGGGATGATGACATGATGTGCTTGCAATGGCCCCCACTATAGAATAGGACATGTCTGCTCCCAAGTCTGACAACAATGCAGAGAGGAGCTGGAGAACAAGAGCAATGTTACTTCTGATATTTGTTCCCTATCTGACACTCTTCCTCAATCCCTTTGCTTTGCCCCCTCTCTCCCCTTTTTCAAGTCCTGCCTGAAAACCTTCCTCTTTGACCATGCCATCTCCGCAGCTCGGATTCAGGCTTCACCACTGTTAAGCGCTGTAAGATGCTACCCTGTGTGGAGGGCGCTATATAAGTGCAACAAAACAAGGATAGTATGACAACAGGTTGCACTGTAGGTTAGTTGGAATAGTTATTGTCTGCATACAATTTACCAAAGTCCATCCTGAGAACACATTCTCAGCACTCTGGTTTATTGTGAAATACCTTGTTTAGCTTGATCAGACAGGACTGACTATAAGAGATGTTTTGAAAAAAAACCTTCAACCCATTTCTACTGTGTGCAATTGGCTGCCACGTTTTGCCCACAAAATATACAGTCAATTCACTTTACCGTATATTCTGTGAAGCGCTTTGAGACATCTCAAAGACATGATAAGGCGTTATATCAAATACAAGGATTATTATTATATTTAATCCTTCCAGAACATGACCCTACTGTCTTCTGATTAAAATATATTGTTTATTCAATGAGGCCTGTGTGCCAATCAATGATAACCCACAAGTGTTACATACTCCATTTGTAAAAAAATAATTTGACTTCTCTGATGACTGTTTAAGTGACTGACTCAGCAGCTACTGGCTCAGTCATATCTCAACCCAAACCACTTGATGCAAAACTAAAACCAAGCTCTTTCAAAAAAAATTAGAAGCGGAATTCAAATGAATTACTCGTGAATATAAACCTTGAGAAAAAGACCATGGTAAACAATGTGCAGTTGCAGAGATCTTTCCCTGGTGTGAAGCATCTACACAGCCGCTAACAGCAGGAGAAAGAAAATACAAGCAGCCCTGGTAGCGACAGTCCCCAGACTTCCCCTCCACCCCAGTTATCTAACCAGCTTATTCATTTGTATCCAAGCAGAGCTCAAATGAATGAAAAAGTAGAGTTCCCGTGTATGCATTTTTACCAAGAGTAGTGCAAACACTGCAGGGAAGAGCTTCATGATTTATTAATCCAGGTCTTGAAAACATTCCTCGGCCCCCAAAATAGCATCCTGTAATAATATGGCTTAGGAACGATGTACTCTCTCTCGGAAAGATCATTATGCTCCCACCTTTTCCAAGTGATAATGTCTGAGTTTTTTGCCACAAACATTCGATCTCTCAAGCTCCAAGGCTTCTGGTTCACTGGCTGAAGTTTCATAATATGGCAAAATACCATGATCAATTATACGATCTTTTCATTATATAACAGGCAACGTAAACACTTTCAGTAAATGCTGGAGTTTGTTACACAGTGGAGTTCGTTAAAGAGTATGTCAGTTCCTACCATCCAGCAGCCAGCTGTACTCCTCTAGTGTGTTCAGTTCGTATAACACAAGCCGAGTAATCACATCATCTGGAACCAGCTTCCCCTTGTCAATGTAGGACTTTGCTACCATTCCAACCTCTGTGAAAATGGCATTAAATAGAATTAAAACATGCTTTTTCAGATTCAACCTCGGTAATCTAGTGAGTCAATGCATTCTCCTGTGCAGCAACAACAAATTACATTTATATAGCGCCTTTCACGTCAGGAGGACGTCCCAAGGTCCCCAGCACTAGAAAATACAGGTTACAAGGGTTGAGGGCTCATATCCCATGCAACAGAATTTGGAACTAAGCCAAGGCTCTCACTTCTAATTGGTATCCAGTGACCCAATGGTGTACGTCTGAATGTCAAGTGAGGATACGATCAGGCTCATCTGCAATTATCCCTGTGGTTGAATAATCCGTCAATCTTTGTGTCAATGCTTACATACATGTAAATAATGGTCAACTGAGTAAAGTACCTGAGATAGACTGTGGAAGAGTCACGTCTTCAGGAAATGTGAGAGAAAGCAACAACAACAAGATTACATTTGTATAGCGCCTTTCATGTCCAGGAGGACGTCCCAAGGCGCAGGACAGAATATACTGTAAAGTGAATTGACTGCATTTTTGTGGGCGAAACGCGGCAGCCAATTGCACACAGCAGTGTCCCACAAAGAGTCGTGGATTGAATTGACCAAATTATTATTTTTTTCTTGAGGGATTATTATCAGGAATGTGGAGTAAGGAAACTTGCCCAAGGTTTTGCCCTGCCGGGAATCAAACCCAGATCTCTCACTTGTGGGCACCGGAGAAGATGTCCTGATGTTTTTGAGACATGATGGTCTGGTGAAAAACACCAAAATAAGCAGGAAGGATACAGTCAGTGTGGTGAAGGAAATCTGGAAGGAAAAAATTCAAGCAGACGAAGAGGTATTTGCATTGCACACACGGTTCTGGAACAATGAGTTTCTGAGCTTGAAGTATCACAACAGGAGTGCTCTTCTGCATTACCAGTGTCTCTGCTTTCCTTGGAAGATGTTTCTCAGAGCCACAATCCAAACCCAAAGTGATTTAATACAATACCAAATTACATTTGTACAACGCCTTTCATGTTGGGAGGACGTCCCAAAGCGCTGGGCATCCACCCAACAGTTCCTTGGAGGAATTTCCAATGTACAGTGTTAACTCTGATCTTTAGACAGTATACTACACAGATTTGAACTGACTGGAAAGAAGCCCAAAAGATCTATGATCCCAGGTTCTCTTGCTAAATGCCATCACAAACCAACTGACAAGCTGCTCATGTGAAAAATATTTTTAACTCTAAAATTATACATATGTGTTGTTAAATGTTCACTCCCAACAACTTAAGGGGTCTAATGCAGTAGGAAAGTACAAACTAAATATTTCTTGTACAAATCCCAGTTTGGCTTTTTTTTCCGCCAAAACACTCAAATGTTGAGCACACTGGGTAAAATACTGTATACTGAATTCTTTGTCCCTTCTCCTCTACCCACAATCTGCAAGATCGCGATTTGGGTAGGGGAGGGGCTCCTGTCTGGAAGGCATTTGAGTGCTTTTCTTCTTCAAGGGTAGTACAATTCCATAAATGCCCTCCAGTTCCCCACCTGTGTGACCATTATTCATACACAGACCTTGAAAGGCAGTGCTATAGCAGGTTATTCAATTGCGAGGAACAATGCAGCCAAACCCAATCCTGTCGTCATCCAGTGTCTGCAGTCTTGTACCATCACTAATTTAATCCCAATTGAGGTCTATAGTGGAGCTTTAAGCATATGAGAACAACAATAGCAAGATTACATTTGTATAGCGCTTTTCACGTCGGGAGGACGTCCCAAGGCGCATTTCAGACCCGAGCTGGGGTCAGCGGGGAGAAGGGAGGGGAGGGGAAGGGGCGTGGCCGATGGCATGGTCAAAGAGGGTCTTGAGGCGAGACTTGAAGGAGGCTAAGGAGGGGGTGAGGCAGAGTGATTGGGAGATGGAATTCCAGAGGTTGGGGGTAGAGTAGCCACTCTCCTACCAATGGTGGGGCGAGTGGGTCGGGGGACGTGGAGGAGGCCGGAGCCGGCTGAGCGGAGGGAATGCGCGGGTTGGTAGGGGGTTAGGAGGTCACAGAGATAGGGTGGGGCGAGGCCATGGAGAGCTTTGTAGGTGAGGACCAGGATCTTGAACTGGATCCTCTGAAGGATAGGGAGCCAATGGAGTCGGGCGAGAATGGGGGAGATGGGGTCATGGAGTTTGGTGCGGGAGAGGACACGGGCTGCAGAGTTCTGGATTATCTGCAGCCTGTGGAGGGAGGAGTTGGGAAGGCCGACAAGCAGAGCATTTGCATAGTCGAGCCTGGAGGTGATGAAGGCATGAACAAGAGTTTCAGCGGCCTGAGGGGTGAGGTAGTGGTGGAGTCGGGTGATGTTACGGAGGTGAGGGAAGGCAGAGCGGGTCATGGCTTGGATGTGGGGAAGAAGACAGTTGAGGGTCGAACAGGACACCGAGGTTCCTGACTGGCTTGGTGAGTTGAAGTGTGCAACCATGGAGGTTGATGCTGCCAGAGCCTGAGGTGCGGAGGCGCTGGCGTGAGCCAATCGGGAGGGCCTCAGTCTTGTTCACATTCAACTGTAGGAAATTTACTCTCATCCAGGACTGAAATATGTTGAAGCCCCAGGAACACATTATATTATGACAGTCCCCAAAATAAATAAATCAATAATGATAGATATTTAGCTGATTACAAATACAATAATATACCGCCAAGCCAAGGAATAGAACAGGCTTTCAATTCTGTGGCCATGAATGAGTTTACAAAGGCAATTAGCATGTTCATTGGCATTGGAGGTTTACAGCTTTTTGATACAAGCAGCAATAATGATAATCCTTGCATTTGATATAGACCTTATCACGTCTGTGAGACGTCTCAAAGCGCTTTACAGAATATACTATCAAGTGAATTGACTGTGGGCGAAACATGGCAGTCAATTGCCCACAGCAGTATCTCACAAACTGTCGTGGATTTAAGTAACTAATTTATTATTATTATTATTGTTTTGAAAGAATTATTACCCCCTGAAAAGTAATCCGCCAATCGACTAACAACCAGGTTCCTACTTACTGCTAGCTAAACAGAGAACTGTGGAGTAAGGAAACGTGCCCAACGTTTTGCCCTGCCAGGAATCAAACCCGGGTGCTTTAACCACTGAGCTACAGGACTCTTATGTGTCCTGCAGGGACTATGGCAGATTTTGCCTTCAGGGCACTGAGTCCAGTAATGGCATTCGCCTGCCTCAACTGTTGGCACAGCAAAGCACAGATCAGCACAGCAAAGACCGACCAGCATAGCACAGATCAGGCCAGTGCACAGCACAGACCAGGCTAGGTATCAATCCTGTGACCTTCACCCCCCCTCACCCCCACCTACCCGGTATGTATTGCTCAGCTACTTACTAGATAACCTCAATGAACCATCAATGTGTTTTACACCTAGAGCAAACACTCACGACTGTAGCTTAGGGTCCATAGAGGTTTTATACAAGTCTGTAATAAATTTGGGAGGGATATATATTCATGTTGCATTTACATTTAAATGTGTTAAAAAGCCTTCACAAGTATTGTCATTTCAACCAAGTGCAGTGGCTTTATATGTGTGTGTATATATATATATATATATATATGGGTATATAAACACTCTGCATATATTATACCAGGTGAACGTTGGGTAGGTTTCCTTATTCCACACATCTCTGTTTACCTAGCAGTGAGTAGGAATACAGTTGTTAGGTTTTTTTCAGGGTAGTAATTCCTTAAAAAAAATTAATTAATAATAATTTGGTCACCAATCCACGACTGTTTGTGGGACACTGCTGCGTGCAATTGGCTGCCGTGTTTCGCCCACAAATATACAGTCTATTCACTTTACAGTATATTCTGTGAAGCGTTTTGGAACGTCTGGAAGACATGATAAGGCACTATATCAAATGCAAGGATTATTGTTATTATTATTTATTTTAAACTCATACCTCACACAAGCACTCCAGGACACTACCTTGCGTGAAAGGCACTATATAAATGCAAGTTGTTGTTGCGCTGTTTAAAAACACACACGTGAACAAAGACATGTCGAAGATGTGATAAGGCGCTGTATCAAATGCAAGGATTATTATTATTAGAGAGAGAGCGAGAGAGAGAGATTAATTTACACCAAAGTGTAATCACACACAGAACAAATGCTACATTGTTGACACTTTTGTGCATAAACACTTGTGAGTATAAATGAATAGGTACATTCACTGCTATGGAGAGGTTACCAGGTGCGAGGTATCACATAAGGGACCACTTATCTTACTTACCCTTACAGTTACGTGGATTCTGTCAAGTCCCACAAGACAGCATTGGTAGCNAAAAATTAGCTTTAGATAAAATTGTCCGACATAACTGAACTCATTACATAAATCAGACGAGATTGCTTTTAAAAACAGCACCCTTTTAATTGGAAAGTACGGGTTTTGATCTTTAACAACAACAGCAAACTTGCATTTACACATCTCCATTCACGTGCAGTAGCGTCTCAAGAGTGCTTCGGAAAAAGATATTAAAATATGGGCTTTCAACGTTGGCCGGAACAAACATGACTTCTTAAAACACTCAACCAGAAATTAAACAAGATTTCTTTTGATCAAAGCACTTCAGTAAATCTTTCAAAAGTTAAAAATAAGTGACGGCGGTTAATTCCACAGCTGAAAGCTGACCGTCTTTGCATCAGTCGGTCAGCGCTCCTGTAAATCTGATGCTTGACACAAATTTACACCAACATCCAGCTGTAACCAGATTAGGTTACATGTGCATAATCTTCACTTTCTGTAAAACAGCACTGAAGACTGTCTCAATTCCCCTCTCTGAATTGACTATATATTTTGTGAACGAAACGCAGCAGCCAAGTACAAAGTACACTCCAATTTTATTATCATTACATGATAATACATTTCCAAAGCAATATAAATTTAAACCAAGAAAACCTAAATAACCTCTTGGCTCCAGGATACTACACCGCGTGAAGGGTGCCATAGAAATGCAAGTTGTTGTTGTTGCCCTGCTGAAAACTTTCCAGTTCTTTAAAGAAAGCCTATTCTGTTTCTTCATGCAGTAGTGTTGCAAAGAAAGAAAAAAGCTCAAGCACTCCAGAGCCATTTAGTGCAACTTGCATAAACCTTAAATGTTTGACCGAACATTAGTAGTTTATCAGTGAGAGTGAAAACAGTTTCTAACCAGCAACAGGCAGAACATAATTATTATGTTTCACCTGTTGACAAGGTGAAGCACAATAACACAGAAACAAAAGAAATCAATTCAGCAAACTGATGTTTTTACTCAAGGGTCAAAGTTGAAAAAAATGGCTAGAGTGATTCTTTTTGCTGAAGTAATTTGAGTATGATTGACAATGTGGAGTCCTGTAACTGAGTGGTTAAAGCACTTGCCTTGCAAGTGAGAGACCTGGGTTCGATTCCCGGCAGGGTGAAATGTTGGGCAAGTTTCCTTACTCCACACGCCTATGTTTATCTAGCAGTATCTAGGAACCCCGTTGTTAGTCGATTGGCAGATCACTTTTCCGGGGGTAATAATCCCTCAAGAAAAAAAACAATACTGTGATAATAAATTGATCACTTCAATCCACGACTGTTTGTGGGACACTGCTGTGCACAATTGGCTGTGAGTTTCGTCCACAAATGTAAAGTCAATTCACTTTACAGTATAATCTCTGAAGCGCTTTGAGACATCTCGAAGACAAGATAAGGCGCTATATCAAATGAAAGATTTATTATCATTATAATAATTTCTGTAAGCGTACCAGAAAAATAAAATATTTTGTAATCCCACTCTGGTCAGTAATTTCATTTGGCCACCTCCTCAACAAGCAGCACAGCAGTCTGAATATTTCTGGAGAGAATGATCCTCGATAAGACTCCCTCGTGCACAACAGATAGAACCAAAAGTATTGCCTGCGGCTGTGCTGAACTTTTATCTCATGTCCAGAGAAGGAGCAGCGAGCGTTCCAACCCACTGCACCACCTAGTTCTCTGAAGCGAGGGCACACTTTTCATTTTAAAAAATCAAGAGCTTCAAGCTGCAATATGTTGACAATGTGAAGAATGTCCTTTCCCCTCACACACTTCTCTCTTGCCTCCTCAGATCCTCTGTATCATTCACCACATCACTTTGCGCAATTGGCTGCTGCGTTTCGCCCACAAAATACAGTCAATCCACTTTACAATATGTTCTGTGAAGCGCTTTGAGACATCTCAACAACTTGATAAGGCGCTATATCAATTGCAAGGATTATTATTATTATAACAGGCTGATTGATCTGTCATCAGTCTGTGGAGTTCGGTAGCTGAGTGGTTAGAGCACTCGTCTCACAAGTGAGAGGACCTGGGTTCGATTCCTGGGCATGGCGAAACGTTGTTCCAATAAAATGGGAAAGGAAGCTACCCTTGTCACCCCCACCCTTCCTCATTGGTCTAACTGCTGTACTAATAAATAATAATAATCCCTGCATTTGATATAGCGCCTTAACACGTCTTCAAGACGTCTCAAAGCTCTTGACATGATACACTGTAAAGTGAATGGACTGTATATTTTGTGGGCAAAATGCAGGAGCCAATTGCACACAGCAATAATGGATTGTCCAACAAATAGTCGTGGATTGAGTGACTAAATTTTTTTTAAGGGATTATTACTCACGGAAAGGTGATCTACCAATCGACTAACAACCGGGTTCCTACTTACAACTAGGTAAACAGAGACACGTTTGGAGCAAGGAAACCTGCCCAATGTTTCATCCTGACCCAAAAACAAAACATAGCATCCAGTTAACTGCTGGGGAATCTCAAGTGTAATGAAATGAACTGACTCTGAGAAAACAGGATCTTTTTGATGTTATCCTGTGTGAAGCATTCAGTGCTACATAAATACAAGTCATGGTTGCTGTAAATCTAACCAGGGAAAAGAGACTTTGTCCCCTTGTCTATGCCAGCCCAATATAGAATATTCCACACATAAGAAAAATTTCACCACTACAGGCATAATTGCTGGTATAGCAGTTCTAATTAAAATGGATTGGTTTATTCTGACTCATCACAATTGCACACAGCAGTGTCCGACAAACAGCCATGGACTGAGTGACCAAATTATTATTTTTTTTAAGGGATTATTACCCCTGGAAATGCGATCCTCCAATCGACTAACAACCAGTTACTTACTGCTAGATAAACAGAGGCGTGTGGAGTGAGAAAAATTGCCTAATGTTTTGCTCTGCTGGGAATCGAATCCAGATCCTCTCATTTGCGAAGCAAGCGCTCTAACCACTGAGCTACAGGACTCCACAAAGAAAGAAAAAAGAAACGATTCTTAAAAAGGATTCAGGACACTGGCCCTCACTTTAGATTTACAATAAGCTTTTTATTGGCCGACACTGGAAGCTTCATTCCTAAGCACTGTTCTCCCACTTTGGAATTATTGCCCTTTTATTCATTGTTCACAGTGTAACATTGTATTGTGTTCACTTGACTGTGAAACGTGAGCCTAATCACTGTATTATTGTCTTTTTTACAAAAAACAAGTGAATGTAAAATATAGTGAAGTTTAAAGTTCACATCCAAGATAGCATTGCTAACAGGCATATCAACACAAGATTGTGGGCTTTTTTCGCCCACCAGATATATACAGTCAGTTCACTTTACAGTATATTCTGTGAAGCGCTTTGAGAAGTCTGGAAGACGTGAAAAGCGCTATATCAAATGCAAGGATTATTATTATTTATTTTAAACTCATACCTCACACAAACACTCCGGGACACTACCTCGTGTGAAGGGCACAATATAAATGCAAATTGTTGTTGTGCTGTTTAAAAACACACAACTGAGCAAAGACTCAAGACACAATGGCAATAAAATGTAAAGTTTCCATGCACATTTTCACACAGCTTTCCCACTTCCCAAATTTCTAGCATTATTTTTCAAGGAGCCAATTTTGAAATTGTATGTCTCACTCTGTAGAAGGAAACAGGCGGGACCTGCTGTTTCCTTCTACAGAGTGAGACATACGGTCTCCAAAAAAACCTCAGGGTTGAATGGTTAACAGACACTGGGGCCTGTGAGCAATTGCCAGCTATATGAGAAAACATGGCTCTTGAAACGTGGCCTGAAATACTACACTTCAGTAGATAAAATCTATACGCAAAGCTTATCCTTACCCCGTATTACTGAAGTCTATTTTGAGTGGTTTTAATATGGGTGTTTGGACTAATAATAATAAAAGGGTGCGTGTGTATGTGTGGGTGTGTGTGTGTGTGTATGTGCATGTGCTGTGTGGGTGTGTGTATATGTATGTGCGTGTGTGTGCTGTGTGTATGTGCTGTGTGTGTGCTGTGTGGGTGTGTATGTATGTGTGTGCACCTCCCCAGGTGGTACCTGTTTGCCTGTTGATGTTGACACGCAGCAGGTCTCCGCTGGACACGTGCTTGAGCCCAAAGCTGCTGACGATGCGGCCAGAGACGGTGCCTTTGCCTGAGCCGGGCGGCCCCATCAGGATGGCCCTGAACAGCACCCCAGCCCTCATACCCCCTCACAGCACAGAGCACACAGACCAGAGACCCCCCACAGACCAGAGACCCCCCACAGCACAGAGCACACAGACCAGAGACCCCCACACAGACCAGAGACCCCCACACAGACCAGAGACCCCCCACAGCACAGAGACCCCCCCACAGCAGAGCACACAGACCAGAGACCCCCACACAGACCAGAGACCCCCCACAGCACAGAGACCGCTCCCTCACAGCACAGAGCACACAGACCAGAGACCCCTCACAGACCAGAGACCCCCCACAGCACAGAGCACACAGACCAGAGACCCCCACACAGACCAGACCCCCCACAGCACAGAGACCCCCCCACAGCACAGAGACCCCCACAGCACAGAGACCCCCACAGCACAGAGACCCCCACAGCACAGAGACCCCCACAGCACAGAGACCCCCCACAGCACAGAGAACACAGACCAGAGACCCCCACAGCACAGAGCACACAGACCAGAGACCCCCACACAGACCAGACCCCCCACAGCACAGAGACCCCCCCACAGCACAGAGACCCCCACAGCACAGAGACCCCCCACAGCACAGAGAACACAGACCAGAGACCCCACAGCACAGAGCACACAGACCAGAGACCCCCACACAGACCAGAGACCCCCCACAGCACAGAGACCCCCCCACAGACCAGAGACCCCCCACAGCACAGAGACCCCCCACAGCACAGAGCACACAGACCAGAGACCCCACACAGACCAGAGACCCCCCACAGCACAGAGACCCCCCACAGCACAGAGACCCCCCACAGCACAGAGACCCCCCACAGCACAGAGACCCCCCACAGCACAGAGACCCCCCACAGCACAGAGACCCCCCACAGCACAGAGACCCCCCACAGCACAGAGCACACAGACCAGAGACCCCCCACAGCACAGAGACCGCTCCCCCACAGCACAGAGACCGCTCCCCCACAGCACAGAGACCGCTCCCCCACAGCACAGAGACCGCTCCCCCACAGCACAGAGACCGCTCCCCCACAGCACAGAGACCCCCACAGACAGACTCACACACAAACACAAGACTCAGATATACTCAGACACTGAGATTCTCTGTGACTCTCTCTCTGTCTCTCACTGCAAACAAAGCACAGAGTCCCACTGTCTGATCCCCTCCGCCCCCCCGTCACCGGGCGATGCTGTGGCTGAGCTGAGCTGTCACTGCCCCCCCCCCCCCCCCCAGTGGGTGTGTATCTGCGGCTCGTGGCTGATGATGCACCTCTCGCCCTCCCACCGCCCTCTGTCTGTGGGTCTGTAGCCAATCGCTGCTATTGCTCCGCTCTGTGCGGCTGCCCCCCCCCCCCCCCCCCACACACACGGCTGCCCCCCCCCCCCCCCCACACACGGCTGCCCCCCCCCCCCCCCACACACACACACACACGGCTGCCCCCCCCCCCCCCCACACACACGGCTGCCCCCCCCCCCCACACACGGCTGCCCCCCCCCCCCCCCCCCCACACACACGGCTGCCCCCCCCCCACACACGGCTGCCCCCCCCCCCCCCCCACACACGGCTGCCCCCCCCCCCCCCCCCACACACGGCTGCCCCCCCCCCCCCCCCCCACACACACGGCTGCCCCCCCCCCACACACGGCTGCCCCCCCCCCCCCCACACACACGGCTGCCCCCCCCCCCCCCCCCCCACACACACGGCTGCCCCCCCCCCCCCCCCCCCACACACGGCTGCCCCCCCCCCCCCCACACACACGGCTGCCCCCCCCCCCCCCCCCCACACACACGGCTGCCCCCCCCCCCCCCCCACACACACGGCTGCCCCCCCCCCCCCCCACACACACACACACGGCTGCCCCCCCCCCCCCACACACACGGCTGCCCCCCCCCCCCCACACACACGGCTGCCCCCCCCCCCACACACACACACACACACGGCTGCCCCCCCCCCCCCCCACACACACACACACGCGGCTGCCCCCCCCCCCCCACACACACGGCTGCCCCCCCCCCCCCACACACACACACGGCTGCCCCCCCCCCCCCACACACACACACCGGCTGCCCCCCCCCCCCCCCCACACACACGGCTGCCCCCCCCCCCCCCCACACACACGGCTGCCCCCCCCCCCCCCACACACACACACACACGGCTGCCCCCCCCCCCCCCCACACACACACGGCTGCCCCCCCCCCCCCCACACACACACACGGCTGCCCCCCCCCCCCCCCACACACGGCTGCCCCCCCCCCACACACACACGCGGCTGCCCCCCCCCCCACACACACGGCTGCCCCCCCCCCCCCCACACACCGGCTGCCCCCCCCCCCCCACACACACAGCAATGCCTCACAAGCGCCCTCTATGTGTGAGTGAGTGTGAGTGTTGCTGCAGCTGCACTCTCCATTAGCTTCCACCCAACACACACATCACCTCAGCAGCGCCCTCTGCGTGTCAATCTGTGCATAATACTCACTGTTGTATCCTCCACACCGACCCCAACACACACACACACACACAACACTGTCAACAACAAGTTGCATTTATCTCACTCCCTTCATGCAGGGGAGTGTTTCGGAGCACTTGACAGTGGTGGAACCTGACACCGAGCTGGGGGGAGTGGGGTGGGGGGAGTGGGGGGGGGGAGTGGGGTGGGGGGGGGGTGGGGTGGGGGGAGGAGGTGACCGTAGGTCTTCAGGTGTGATCTGAAAAGGGGGAAGGCGTATAGTGGCTGAAAGCACGACTGCCAATGATGAAGTAGAAAGGACGAGGCACAAGAAAGTGGCCGGAGCCAGCCAAGTGGTAGTGGGTGGTGGAGTGGGGAGATTGTCGAAGAGGGCGTTGGAATAATCGAGGTGGGAGGTGACAAAAGTTCGGATGAGGGCTTCACCTGCCTTGGGGTTAAGGTATGATCAGAGGTGGGCAATGTGATGGAGGTGCAGGAAAGCATTTCTAGTCACTGGTGTGGGGTAGGAAGGACAATCGTGTCTGACATGCCTGGGTTCCGGCAAGGTTCGGTAAGTCTTATGGGTAGGCTGTAGAGGTTGAGGAGGTCAGACCCGAGAGCCACAAGGAGAGAAGACTTTGACAGAAGCCACATTCAGCTGCAGGAAGATTGCGCCTTGAAGTCTGACAAACAAGCTGGCGGGTCATAAGCGACCTGGAGTCACAACTGGAAGAGAAGTAAATTTGGGCGTCATCTGCAAACATGTCAAGAAGGAACATACAAATAAGGGAAAGGGGGCTGAAGATTGGACACAGGTGACCGGACGGGGGCGAGAGGAACAGCTGCTAGCAGGGACAAAGTGATGCCAGTCGGTTAAGTAGGATTCGAACCAGGCACGTGTAGTCCCACTGATGTGGATGAGGGACAAGTGCAGTTCCACTGATAGCCCATGATCGACACTCTCACAAGCACCCTCTGTATATGTGGGTACAGATATTCCTGTGTGTTGTATCCTCTCTACACCATACACACAAAAAGAAGTAAATATTATATTGAGGTTTCCATAAACACAACTCATGTGTCAACACCTCTGAGCCTCACTAAACAGCCAGACATGCTGGTTAAACATCATCAATTTCTTGGTTTAATGCAGTCACCTGGCTGCCACCCAAGAAGATACGTCTTAAATATAATAATAATAATAATAACCCTTGCATTTGATATAGCACCTTATCACGTCGTGGAGACGACTCAAAGCACCTCAAAGAATATACTTTAAGGTGAATTGAAGGGTTGTGTGAGCATTTCTGGCCAATATATGGTGGTCAGTCAACACAAGAACTGCATTTTAAGTGTGTAAATTGCAGACCAATAGTTGGGACATGTTTTGCTGCCATTCTTCTCAGTTGTAGTGTGTCAGTAGTATCAATTGAGGTGATGTTTGCACTTTTGAGTTAAATGAATTGAATCATGTTTCATTGTTTTTGAAAAATGAAATTCAGGTCAGTTTTTTTTAGCAATCAATTTTCACCCAGCAAAATGGGTATTTATTGGTGAAATTCGTTTTTCTAAAAAAAATTGCCCTTACACATGTGTAAACACAAAGGAATTACCTGTTTAACAACCAGTTGTTTCTTAGATAAGTAATGAAATTGTCATTGGTTGTGAATGACATAATGAATGTATTGGAGTTCCCTCTTATAATAATATATTAATAGTACAGTATTTGATATTGCACCTTACCAAGTTGGCAAGACATCTTTCCAAAATGCTTTTCAGAGTATGTTGTAAACTGGTGTGTCTGTGTGTATTCTGTGGGCTTTTAGAAGTCCTTTACATTTGTGTTTTACACATGCTTTACAAATTTGTTTTACACATGGTTGCACTTGTACTTTACACTTGCTTTTGCATGTTGCGCATAATGTTTATGTATTGAATGTTCAAAATTATTTTGAAAGCAAAAACCAATTCAAGCACTTGAATTCACAAATTGAATGATGTTTTCATGAAGTATTAAGAAATATGAAATGCAAATGACATTTGTAATGTTTTGGGGCTGTTTAGCTTTCTGATAATAAACTCCTCTCAATAATAATAATCAATGCATTTGATAAGGCGCCTTACCACGTCTTTGAGACATCTCAAAGAGCTTCACAGAATATACTGTAAAGTACATTGACCGTATGTTTTGTGGGCAAAACGCAGCAGCCTATTGTGCACAGCAGTGCCCCACAAACAGTCGTGGATTGAGTGACCAATTTATTATTATTAGTTATTTTTAATTATTTTTTGGAGGGATTATTACCCCTTATTTACTGCAAGGTAAACAGAGGTGTGTGGAGTAAGGAAACATGCCCAACATTTCGCCCTGCCCGGGAATCAAACCCAGGTCTCTCACTTGCGAGGTGAGTGCTCTAACCACTGAGCTACAGGACTCCAGCTGGGGAATTCTCTCCTATCTCTCCCTTTTCCCCATTCCATTTGCTGGGTGGGAATCATTGTTTAGACCTAATCCACTTGTAAAGCCTGCCAATCCCACTCTCTGTTGGCGAACCTTGTTGTGACTAACAGGCTTCTATTATTAGTTTGGGGCTGCCTTTCCTTATTGCTGACACGACAACTTCTTCAGAGACCCAATAGTTTCTTTAGACAGT